CCATCTGGGCTTTGTATGACTGAGGAGAGCAGATGCTGCATAGGTGAAGGGAAACGCACAACCTTATGCTGACGGTGTTCCACTCTGTTTAGTACAGTTTGTCCTCTCCTCTCCCGGCTGTGGGTCTGCTGTGCGTCCAGCCAAAAAAAGAAAATGGAGCAACCATGCAAAAATTGTGTTCTTATCAACCTTGTGCTAGCTGAGGTAAAGTCTGCTGAAGTCTTGGTGGGCCCAAACTCTCCATGTGCCTAATTACATCTGGTCAGACACCAGTCGCTACAGAGCCTGTTACTCACACATCCACACTGATCCCCGATACAGGTTTTATGAAACAGAGGACAGTGTTCCTATGGGGAAGAGTCCCCAGATTAAAGGCACAGCTGAAGAAACAGCTCCACAACAGAGAGGAACTGCTTATTAACAGGTTAAGATTACACAAACCAATCCCAGCTCCAGAGCTAAGGAGCTGGTGAGAGGAGGTTGAACAGTGAATAACACACTGCTCAGAGCCACACATTGGGCAAACACCATCAATGGAGAACTGCTTGCTGCTCCACATGTGGGGTGCCATCTCCCACCTGAGCTTAAAAATTAAAAAACTGTAATATTAACAAAAAGAATAAATAGTTTCTTTGCCAAAGCAGAGGTATAACAGGCAAGAAACCAGTGTGCCCATGCTATAATGTCAGCCTTCACAGGTACTGTGGCACAACCAAGACTTTCCCTAAAATACCACTCAGGATTGAGCTCTTGAGCTGATACTAAACTAAGCATCAAAGGTTGGTGACTTTCTTCAGAAACCATAAACATGCACCAATGCATGCTCCCATCTGCTGAGATTTACTTCCATTTGTTTTGAGACATTTTAACATGTCGTCAAGATGACAATAAATGTGGGTATTTTTCCCCCTTTCTCATTCCTCTGCCATCAGAACAAGACTCTTAACTGTGAAGACAGGCAAAAATGTTACACCACCTTAGTGATCCACAAACATAATATCTTATAATCTGTCCAGGACAACTACTGTATCATTTTGGGTTGGAAAGAAGGAGGTAAGCTCCCAGTTTGCTGCCTCCCGTTCTGCCTGGTCCCAGAGGCTCAGTCCCGCAGTTCACATGGCACACGAGGAGAGGTGTGTGCTGCACGTGTGGCCAGAGCCCCCGGACCTCCCACAGCTGGGTCAGCACTGAAGAACCATCTGTAAGAAAAGGGGCTGTAAGGCAGAAATATCACACAGGGCTGTGGAGGGTCTGGAATAAACACTTGGCTCAGTCACAGACTCTTTTGCAACTGCAGGCAATTTGCACGGTTCAAGTTTTCTTCTGGAAACTGAGGGAGCAGTCCCTGCCCTGCTCTCTGTGAGCTGTACATGCTTGCAATGGCTGCCCTTGGACCAGGGCTGGTGCGGCATCCAGTCCAGCAGCAATTGCAGTGTGTTCAGCATCTGCTGAGCACTTCACAGCAAAAATAACAACCAAGCAGCAATGCTCTTCTGTTAGTAGAATGGCTCAGAGAATCTTTACAAAAAACCTCCAATTTTATAACAAAAAACCCAAGTGACAAACCCTTTGCAGATGACAATATGTAGCATAATTAGCAATGGGAGGGGAGTGATAAGCCGTTAACAACTTTCAGATCTCATTGAGAGCGCTTTGCTGCACCTCGATTTGTAGTGATGAGTTAAGCTTGCTTCTGACACTTTTTCTGAGCATCTAAGAACCTTTACAGTTATTGCATTGAGTTCTAGTCAGTAAAAGTCAAAGTGCTCAAAACTTCTATTTTGAACAGCCTGAATAGTGTCCATCAAAGCAAACATCCTGAAAACACTCCTTTCAAAGCACTTGTTGAACGCTACCATCTCGAAATGTCAGATTCACACTCATTTAAACAATTTGACAGCTTCCAAGACAGCACCTGATGAGCATCACATTCAAGTGTCAAGAAGCACAGAGAAAAAGTGCCAAAAAAAGTTCAATCTGAAGAAATTGTATCAGCTATTAGATGAGTATTATAATACAGTTACTACTAAAAAAGATTTCTCATTTAAATGGAAGATAAACTTTACATTCAAGAGATTTTTTAAAAGACCTTGCATTGCACCCATACCACCTCCCACGTTTCTCATGAGCGAGATCTTTCAGCAAACTGAATCCAGGAGGCAGACACACACACTGCAAACAGCAGCACACACTGGTACTGAGTGAACACCTCAAGACCACTGTAACTGGGCCACTGGAGATGCTGCTTCTGTTGTTTTGTTGGGTTGTTTTTTTTTTTTTGTAGAAGCCACTGGGAGTTACAAGAATTTAGTCTCTTCAGATTAAACCTTTAATGCCTTCTGTTGGGTATATAAAAGCTGAATCTCTAAATGAGAAGATTTTTGGAAAAAATCTTGGCCCTAATTTGCATATGCTCCAGTTATTTCACTGCACGAAATACTATGCATGTTTTATATAGGGGCTGGAGGCTTACTGTGTGTTTGTGATATGCTTTAGATCCTCTGATGGGAGGTGTTACCTAAATACAAGTAATTTGACACTTAAGTGTCTAGAATTCCCAGTGGACATCTGCACTCAAGCCCTGCTGCCATCACAAATGAAAAACATTTGGAATCCTTAATGTGATTTTTAATGGACATATGTTCATAACACAGTGCCACCAATTTGGCATATTTAGTGTCTTCTCAAGAGAAGCCCACAGTTTGTATAGCAAGATTGTGGGAGGTTAGGATTGCAGTGTGAGAAAATTTGCACAACACCTGCCTGACTATAATTTAATTGGCAGAAACTAATGCTCTGGGTTTGGGGATTTTTTCCTCCACTCAAAACTGAAGAGACAGTAGGACTAATCTTGCTGTCTCACACTGTCAATTTTAGGCTTTTATTCTGACTTTACTTGTGCTGCAATATGATCATTTTCTGGTCCACTTTTTTCTGACAACTGAACATTGCTGGTTTTCTGTCAGTTGTTATTTCTTTGTATAATGACTTGTCTGGCCAGCAGGATGGACTCAGTATTTTTGTACTTCACTAAAAAAGGGCTCTGCTCAGTATTACTAAAGATTATGCTGCATTTTATTTTTAATGAAGTATTTAATGATATGTTTTAAGAGGAAAACAGCTGGCCAAAATATTTCTGATCAGCTGCACCAGCAACACAGTGTGCAGACTCCAAAAGCAAACACCACCACTGTCATTATTAAATTGCCTTTGATTTTACCTTTGCTTACAGCAAAGCCCCATCTGGAGCAATCTTTAGCACCTCTTATCCTACCAGGATTTTTGTTTTCCTTTTCGGGAATGTTTGCCCTTGCAGTGCACCAAGGACAGCCCCTCTTACTTCACTATTTTCTTCCCTTTGAGTTTACAAAACATAATAAAAAGCTTTGCAGGAGAGATAGCGGATGCAGTCCCAGGGGAAGTGTTCCTGCAGCATGAGGTTCAGCCCTGCAGTATTTTAGGCTTGCAGGGCAAGAAGGTGAGCTGCAATCCTGATCCATGCTGCTTTGCCAGACCTGGCTGTTATGGGCTTGCAAGTCCCTGCTGGCTGCCCTGGTGAAAACCTTGCTGGGACGCCTCTCACTGACTGTGTGAACTTGAGCAGGTGGCAAGTTATGGACTTCCTTTATACAGGATACTTGCATCAGTTTTGTTGCTTTAAAGAACTCCTTGAAACTTAGCTGGGATTTCCAGATTCCCTGCTCTGCAAACGATGGTTGGCAATATTTCACACACGTGGTGGAAGCCCTATCAGTATTTAAAAAATTACAGTTTGGCATGAAAGCATCACCTCATCCAGACCCCAGGTCCTTTGCTGGGACTGGATGTAAGTGGAGTGAGATGAAATGGCAGGAGGCTTATTTCTACAGTTTTATTTGTCTGAAATACTTCTGTTTTCACACACCCAGACTGCATGTGCAAGATCAGCCTTTCCCTATGGACGTGGTGGTGTAAAATGGAGTAGAGGAATGTAAAGAGCTGACAGACAGACAGGCAGGAGCAGTTAGAGGCAAGACCTCAAAAAGTCTCAGGTCACCTTATCGCCCTCAGAACTGCAAGCATAGTAATGGCTGTTGGTATTGTACACTGCCACAGCAGATACAGGTATGTACATGTCTGGGTACATGTGCCTACAGTGCACTTCACACATACAGCAAAGGGGGCAGTCACATTCCTGAGCAGTTTGGGGCCTTTTCTTTGAGTAATTTAAAGATGGGTTAATATCTTATGACCTGCATAGGACTACCAGTAAAATAAAACATAATGTTTGAAGGAGGAGGTTAATTACTGAGACAGTTGCTGATCTGCCTCTTCTGAGCTTGTGATAAAATAATTATCTAGTTTGCAAGAGCCCAAAGCTAGCCACAAGCAAAAATTTTCTCTCCAGCACTGAAGGAAACTCAACATTTAGATTTACATCTAAATGCTTGGGGTTTTTTTAGAATTGCAAGAACAAAAATAAGGCCTCCAGGCAGGCGTATACAGTGGTTATTCAGTACTGTCAGTGCTCACTGTTGAACTTTATCCCTGGACCAGGCAATGTTCCCAAGGTGAGTAAACACACCTTGGACGAGCCTCCACTTCACAGCCAACTAGAGAGCATCTGCCCACCAAATGTGCCAGGATGACCCCCGTGCTCCCACTTCCAGACACACGTTGTGCTCAATCTTTCCCACACACCAAGAAGTTCTGATGCTTTTGATTTCAAAACCGAATTGGATCAAAGTTTGGTTAAACTGACAAATTTTGTAACCATTTCAGAACAGCAAACCCAGGGGAGAAGAATCACTGCTTTCAGCATTCATTAATCAAACCTGTTAAATCATTACCTCGTCAGGGCTGCTTTGTTGACAACTCTGTGTGATGACAGAGTCAGTGACACTGTCCCAGGACGCATCCAGTGGTGACGTAAAGGACAAGCCTCCCTCAGCTCACCTAGTGGGATGGACACTACCATGAAGAATATTTAAGGAAGGAGGAGGCCTCCTTGGAAACCAGTGATCGCAAGAGTCCTCCAAAGCAAGTGAAACTGGATCAACTGAAAGAGACAGCAAAAGCCTTCCTGACATCCAACTCAATCTCATAAAGACCGTAAGTAGAATGGCCTCTATTTTTTTACAGCTTGAAATTACCAGTGGTCCAAGTTCTCTATATTGATTTTAAAGCAGAAGTACGTGATCAACTCTATTACAAATTCTAGCTTTGTGTTATATGTTGTTAGGAAGGCTTATTGGCACTGTTTACAATGCCATAGTATGCTAACACACCCAATATATTTGATTTTAGATTGTGATCAGCATTTCAAAGCCATCCGCAAGATCTAATACAGGTTCAATAATGGCCCCACAGTTGAAAGCCGAGGTAAATGTCATGCCCAAGGTTGTCCAGGGGGATTTGCAGAGTCTGCCTCCAGAAGTGAGAGATTTCATTGAAAGTAATGCCAAGCTGTGCCAGCCTGAGAGCATTCATATCTGTGATGGCTCAGAAGAAGAAAACAAAAAAATTCTGGACATCATGGTAGAACAAGGCATGATCAAGAAGCTGAGCAAGTATGAGAACTGGTGAGTAGTCTGAAGGAACTCAAGTATCATGTCAGAATGGCAATATGCATTTTTCTATCCTGTTTACTTTTAAAACTGCTTATAACCCTTCAGTATTTGCTTTCCATGAACATTTTGGCACTGTAACTTACATAGGTGAAATACTCAGGAAAAGCAAACTTTTTCCTCCAAAAATTAACATAAAGCACATTATTCAGATGGACTATCAACTGTAGATTGTCTCTACTGATTAGTTACATCAGGGAACCGAAATCATGTCATGACATTTATGTAACTAATCATTAGCAATGGCTAAATATTATTTAGCAAATACATCTTTTGAAGAATTCTACTAGTCAATTAGTTTATTCACCAAATGCTTTTTTGTGGTATTCAAATAGCTCTGTGGGCGTTCAGATATTATTCAGTATAGGCATTATTCATATCATGCCAATGAGCTTTGACTGTAATGTATTCAGAAAATACTTTTTTCAAATATTTCATCATCTCTCCCAGCTAACCCAACATGAAAGGAGAATATTAACAACAAGTACATACTCGGGAATTACGTGCTGACCAAGAGATCTTCATGCAAGAAATCTGCAAAGACTTTTGAATAACTAAGTGCAGGAATTTGGCAATCTGTTTGCAGACTATTTGGGAGAGAAAAGGGCAAGATAAATTATTCATTGTTAATTATATGCTTAGCTGTAGTGATGATGGTTATGACAGCCCAACTAGAACATTTTTATACTCATGGAAAATTTCTATGCACAGAGGTGAAAATGTAAAACAATCCTTTCTATTGTAAATAGATGGCAAAAATTCCTTAGAGGGGGGAAAAGAGTCCTCTTTAATAAACTCCTTCACTTTTTATGATCATACTTAAACGCAGTCTTTCTTTCGCGATGCCTCTAACTTAAAGGACTATGCCAATCCACTAAGCTGGATTCTGATCCCACAGGCACTTATACCAACACTTAAAGTACTTGCTTGGCATCCACTGTGCTTGAGGCATCATTTTGTGGTCCCCATGCAAAACAACTTCACACTGATGAGAATGAGAATTAAATGAGATTAACTTTTCTCTGGAAGTTAGCAACGGAGAATAACACTGAGATAAGAGGCAAAGGAGTATTAACATGTAACCAGAATTTCCTAGGCCATATAATTTGTCACTCGTACTGGAAAGTCTTTAAACAGTTTGTACGAGAGAATGTATGTAACTGATTTTTGAGATTGTTTATTATACTGGCTCTGTCACTGTAGTTTTGGCCTTAAAAAACATTGTACTCTTTCGTGCTAAACCAGTCCCATAGAAGGGTAAAAAGCACTATGATAACTAAAGTCTAATTTCTCGATTTTTGTTGAAATGCAGCTGGTTGGCACTCACTGATCCAAGAGATGTGGCAAGAATTGAGAGCAAAACAGTCATAATTACTCAAGAACAGAGAGATACCACTCCAATCCCTAAAACTGGAACTAGCCAGCTGGGTCGCTGGATGTCTGAAGAAGATTTTGAGAAAGCCTTCAATACCAGGTTCCCCGGCTGCATGCAAGGTGGGCAAGAAAAGGACTGTTGACATTGAACTTCTAGGATTATGGAGACACTACCACTAGTAGTTACTGTAATCTTTAAAGAACATTTTAACTGAAGGTTTAGGTTTGTATCCGTGATATTAGTTACTTTGTTGGTTTCATCCGGATCTTTACCATAGACCCAAATGCCTGTGCAAGGACAGTCTCTTTCCAGCATTCCCAGTCTCTTTCCAGCATTCTTCTCTTTATGAAGAAAAGTAAGGCAGGAAAATTTGGGTGACTTTTTTTTTTCCACACAGCAACTAAGCGGCAGATAGGAAGCGAGGTGAGAATGGAGGACCCCCATCAGTAGCAATAATTGCAAGTTCTGCAATTTTTACCAAGAGAGAACTTGCCCTCCACCCATCTTTACTGCTGGCTGGACAGTTTGCCTGAACAGCTGCTTTCAGCATTCAAGATAAAACTTCTTGCTACACAATTAGACAAACAGAAAACTACAGATCTTTAAACATCATCAGAAACGCCTACAAGACAAACAGCTTTTAAAGAAGTGAGAAACAATCTCCATGTCAATAAAGATTATTTCAAAAGTTCCTTGTTTTGCTCATTGCCACATCTTGCTACTCCCTGTTTTACAGGACGTACAATGTATGTCATCCCCTTCAGCATGGGGCCTATTGGGTCTCCTTTGTCCAAGACTGGGATCGAGCTGACAGATTCACCATATGTAGTGGCCAGCATGAGGATCATGACACGAATGGGAACAGCTGCTTTGAAAGCCCTGAGCAATGGGGAGTTTGTAAAATGCCTTCACTCGGTTGGATGCCCTCTACCACTAAAAGGTAAGAGACGTAAAAAAACCTGTCTCCCCTGCAAATTCCCAGGGGTATGTTTTAGAGCTGACTCTGTGTTCTCAGCATATGGGAGACAACACCATAGAAGACCAGAGTGGTTTGCGTAACAGCACTAGGTTCAGAACTCAATTAAAGGAATCAAAGCCCAATGAGAGTTTCAAGAAAAGGAGATTATCATCCCTGATACTTACCAGGAGGTTTCCTTTGAAGCATCTGGTACGGGTTGCTGTTAGAGGTCTGGTGCTCATGAAACACTGTGATCCAGCATGGAAATTGCTACATTAATGATAACATTCTGTTCTGCAGAACCACTAATCAACAACTGGCCATGCAACCCGGAGTTAACACTGATTGCCCATCTCCCGGATCGCAGAGAGATCATTTCATTTGGCAGTGGTTACGGAGGAAACTCCTTACTGGGGAAAAAATGCTTTGCTCTCAGAATTGCCAGCAGAATCGCCAAAGAAGAGGGCTGGCTAGCTGAGCACATGCTGGTAAGAGCTATTAAATCATGTGTGTTTGAACAGCCATTAAACTCTAAATTAGCTCAACATAAATACATGACATCTTGGTATCAATTGAATTAGTCTCATACAGATAGTCCTGTAACATTAGATATAAATTTATCACATGGCAGGCTTATAAGAGATAGGAAACTGCTTGCAAGGTTAAGTACCAAACCTGTAAAAAAAATAGTACCTGTAAAATCAGAAAAACCAAGGAAAATGTGGAACTTCTGACAGTAGCTACTTGTGGGCAGACCTATGCACTTGAGCAGAGCCTAATCATTATCACTGGGCATCCACGTTGCCCCTACAAGTCTAATAGCAAAAGGTTAATGCAAGTTTTGAAAAGCGTCTTATTATAAAGATTCTATGCACTCAAATACCTGCAAATATTAGATTTTCTACATGAGTTCTGCTTTGTACCCTTCATGCCTTTTCTTTCTGCTGTGAGTTCAACATTCTACTACCATAAAATGCCACTGAAAAAAATAATTCCAAAGTGCATAAGAGAACAGTCTCAGAAAAAACATCTATGGACTCTGAGAAGTGCAGAAGTATCCATACATGAAGTGTTTTTACTTCCGTCTAGTCGTGCAGCCAAAAGAATATGGCCTGGTTTTGTTCTGTCTTAGCCGAGAAACACAGCTGTATGCAGCCTGTGTACCTTTAATCAGCAAAATAAGACTAAATGTTTGAGTTATATACACACCTGACATTAAAAAAAAATATAACAACTCATTACAGATATTCTAAGGGCAAAAAGAGTAGACTTTTTGATTAATAAAGTACAGTTTGAGTTATTTGTCAACTATATAATGTGGTACTTCTGTTGGAACAAATTTGCATAATTAAATATTTTATCATTACCACCTGCTAGAAGACAATCTTCAAAATGAAAAGTGCAAGACAAAAGACCGTGTTTAACAGTTGCATTAATTTTTCAATAGATCCTGGGTATTACCAATCCCGAAGGTAAAAAGAAGTATTTTGCTGCAGCATTCCCTAGTGCATGTGGAAAAACTAACTTGGCCATGATGAACCCAAGCCTGCCAGGATGGAAAATTGAGTGTGTGGGTGATGATATTGCCTGGATGAAATTTGATGAACAAGGTACAGAACTGAAAGTGGATTCATTTACAGTCCAGTACAGGTTGCTTTTAGGTGCAGCAAGACATGTTACAAAATTCTGGATAGAATTAAAGTACTTCGATTTACATATATTTTGTCATTTAACTTCCAGGCAACTTACGGGCAATCAATCCAGAAAATGGCTTTTTTGGAGTCGCCCCTGGAACCTCAGTCAAAACAAACCCCAATGCTATTAAAACCATATTCAGGAACACCATCTTTACCAATGTAGCAGAAACCAGTGACGGAGGCGTCTATTGGGAAGGCATTGATGAGCCATTACCACCAGAAGTAACACTGACTTCATGGAAGAACAAGGATTGGACTCCAGAGAACGGTAGCATGGCCCACTCCACAGCCTGTCTTGGCTTGCTCTGCTGAATTCAAGTTAATTCTGCCATTATAACCTTTTTATTGTATTCTGCACAGGGGAACCTTGTGCTCATCCCAACTCACGGTTCTGCACCCCAGCCAGCCAGTGCCCCATTTTGGACCCTGCGTGGGAATCACCCGAAGGTGTGCCTATTGAAGGGATAATATTTGGAGGCCGCAGACCTGCTGGTAAGGGATGCAGCAGCCAACGTGCTGACCACAGAAGGGTTGAAACGCAACTGGACGTAGACACAGGTTTTGTTTCACAGCTGCAAGGGCAAGGAAATAACCATTTTACTCTAACTTCTCCATGTTAGCCTTTGACACACAGTTACAGCCACTGATATTTCAATGTCTGAATTGTTAGATACTAACATAAAACAGGTAATAGTAGCAAAGGGCTGGACAGAGATCGGGACCCACTAAGCTGGGTAATACGTAGACACACAGCTAATTGCTGCACTTTAACTAGTTCAGTTAGGAAATGGTTGGAAAAATGAACTAGCTGTAGCAGTTTACAGAAAAGTAAAATAAATTTATCTGTTAAAGGTCAACTAAAGTTGGAAAAGAAATACAAGTAATGCTAGGTCTGAGTCTAATATAATGACCACAGGACCAGTTTCTATTTCCAGTAAAATCTGCTGAGGATTCTGAAGTCCCAGTTTTCTCCTATTGAGCAAGTAGACACGGATGTGTTCAGTAATCAGTAGCCAGTTTTGAAAACATTCATATAAAATTATTGTGGTAAGAGGGAAGGAAATGAATTGATTAAAAAAAGCAGAAAAAATTAGACTACATTATACAGTAACATGCATTCGGCAGTATCTCAGGTAGCAAAACCTGTTATAAAAATGTTTCTGGACCTCTAATTACTGAAGTGGTTTTGTTCTTTACAGGTGTGCCTCTTGTATATGAGGCCTTTAACTGGCAGCATGGAGTATTTATAGGAGCAGCTATGAGATCTGAAGCAACAGCAGCTGCTGAGCACAAAGGTAAATCAAAATTTAATCTGCCTACCTGTATTAAAAGCAATCCTCTCTGGACTGCATGCTCTGTCCTTCCCCCTCTCCTCTTTCACATTTCAGTCTTGGCAGCTAATTTTGCAACCTGTGCATTTTCACAATAGAAAATATTTGTACTGGAATTAAAAGCCAAATTATCTGTAAAAGTCAAATTAAGCAAAATAAACCCCTAGGTGGCAAGCATACAGAACAGGGTGGAGGCATGGGGTTGCCAGAAGCCTTGATGAAGAGTTCTTGTTACAGTCTGGGATAAATAAACTTAGATTTTCTCTTCTGCTAGAGCTCAACATAAATAAATGAACAATGAAAGCCAGATTTTGAGGATCTTCATTTAAGCCGCTTGATCTGAGATTTAAGAAATTTAGTTTCCACTGATTACAAAAATTAATTTAATTTGTACTTTTTTTTTTAGTTCATCAAGGATAATACTTGTATTGTTTCTTAAAGCTTTTTAGTTCAGATACAGAAAGGTGGTTAACGGATCATGGGTACTAAATCCTGGGAGGATCTGAATCTTTGTGCTTTAGAATAAATGTGCTATGTATTATCTTACATTTTCCATTTGTGTTCTGAACAGGTAAAATCATTATGCACGATCCATTTGCCATGAGACCTTTCTTTGGCTACAACTTTGGCAAATACTTGGCCCACTGGCTCAGCATGGCACACCGTCCAGCTGCAAAACTACCAAAGATCTTTCATGTTAACTGGTTCCAGAAAGACAGCCAAGGAAAATTCCTGTGGCCTGGCTACGGAGAGAATTCCCGTGTGCTGGAGTGGATGTTCAACAGAATTGAAGGGAAAGCTTCTGCCAAGCCAACTGCCATAGGTTACATCCCTGCTGACACTGCTTTGAACTTGAAGGGTTTAGAAGATGTCAACTTGACCGAACTGTTTGATATCTCCAAAGAGTTCTGGGAAAAGGAGGTAGAAGAAATCAAGCAATACTTTGAAGTGCAAGTTAATGCTGACCTTCCCTATGAAATAGAAAGGGAAATGCTTGCCTTAGAGATGAGGATAAAACAGTTGTAGCTTATCAAAACAACTATTATTTATCAGTCCACACATAATGAGACAGGACAAACACATTTTACCAAATCAGCACTGGAAGCATAAGAGCACACTGATGGGGCAAGAGGTTATAATGAAAGTAGGTCTTAGTTTAGTTCAAATATAGATAGGGGCATTCTAGAAGTAACTCCAGACCTAATGATTTATAACTACATCAGTTGTTGTGAATAGGTGAGCAGCTGTGGAAATGTCTGTGCACACGGTCTTCAAAACCTTGATCTGTCACTTACATGCACATATAGCTATGATGTATGTAAATTATTTGCCTAATTCTGCATATACAATCCAACCTTTGAGGTGTAGCACATTGTTTCTATCACACAAACCTCTAGAGTCTCCGACTCTACAGGAAAGAAGAAAGAAAATTAGATGCTGTACATATGTATTACCTAAACATATTTCATGGCTTAATTATTTTTTAGAGAAATTAAGATGTAACTTTTAACAGTGAAAGATAACTTTGTATTACTAGTGTGTATTTAAGATATTGCTATTATATATGACTCATGTTCCTGTGATTTCCAGATGTTTTGAATGTCTTGTTCTTTAAACTATTGAAATAAACATTTATACAAAATATTACTTCATTTGCAGTATCCTCACTGTTTATAAACTACATACATATAAATTGGGCCTCCTGTCAATACCACAGCACGGGGAGAAATTCACATGTGGAAGCTGACTAGCATTGCTGTGCTACTCCTAAGCCAACTAGTTTATGCCACATACTATCTTTGCAACTTTTATTTGAGCCAAAGAAATTATGATACCAGAAATTATTATACCAGCTGCGAGCAGTCATTCAGCTAGTGACGTGCTCTCCATAACTGGGCATTGTTAGTTACTTCAGGCATTTAGAAAATAAACTACCCTCTAGGAAAGCCCCATATTAGGACCTTGCTCTTCTGCTGAAGCCATAGGATTTTGTCTCTGTGCTACAGTACCTTGGCTTTTGCAAGAGTAACTAGTGGAGCTGTTGAAGTAAAGACAGTCTGGGAAGTGTTTTCCACATTTGTCAAGATGCCTAAAGCCTTAGAGCTCAATGAACATAGTGGCAGGAGCTTGTGTTGGCTTCCTTGTAGATCCAAGATACTAAAACCAGCCCATGTTCTCCCAATTAAAGTTGTCCTTTAAATGCTTCCCCCGTCCTTGGCAGGTATCCTGCTTTTTTCACTTTGAATGCTTGATCTCCCAAAATATATTGCAAATATTTGCTTAGCAAAAAGAAAACCACTTACATTGTGTAATAAGCCTTTTTATAGACCCTGCTTCCTTGCAAAACAAACAGTACCAGGGCTGGTCAACAGATGCCCCTCAAAGTTTGCTAGGAGAAGTCACATAGCCCGAAAACCCTCTACCTACCTCCTGACTCCATGTTTAGGACATAACACAAACATTATTAATTCTGAAGTGAATAATACAGTGTAAGTCAATAAATAGATCAAATAAAAAACAGGCAATAGAAAGCTGTGACGAAAGTGGAGGAGAGCAGGGCAGCCTCTATAGAGATGATAATCGGTTGACCTGCTTGCTGGTCAAAAATCATCTCTGCATTGATTCAGGTCTGGTATAGGGTCATCTTTAGTCTGTGCACTCTTGAGTAAGCTTCAAATTAAACAGAAAAATCAAGGTGGAAGACAGCAAATAAGTCAGGGGAAGTGAGCCAAGAGAGACACATATATACACTCCTCAGATTCGAGGACTACTATCACACATATAAAATAAAGTTGTTTATAAAGTCATTTATAAGTATTTGATGAAAGGTTTGGGCCATTCCCAAACTGATATGACAGTATTGGACCTGGTATTTGGCTAACTCTAAGGAAGAGCAAGGAGATCTAAGGAAATCTGTCATGCTAATATTGGAGAGTTATGGCCAGTTACAGTCTCAGAGTTTCTTATGGGCCTCACGAGAGCATCCCAGTCCTGTGTAGTGCAAACATGTGCCAAGCACATTTTGAAATGCTGCCCAGGAGATGTACAGAAGCTCGGGGCTTTCCAGAGCTTTCTGAGCAGCTCCAGTGTGCTGTTCTGCCTTCTCAAACACAACCAGGCTCAATATTCTGAATATTACAAAGAAATTACTCGTACTTCATGTCAGAGGAATCTGTGCCAAAGGCCAAAGCCCAGAAGGCATATGGACATGGAAAAACAGAGAAACACTTGTCCCATAAAATGCTGCTCAACGAGGAGACAGGTACCATTACTGTAGGCCAACATAACTGTGATCTTACAGCTAGCTAGCAAGATTGCTGTTATAAGGTGCTAACTGCCTTGAGAACCATCATCCTCCAGCCCAAAGCGCTGGATTTCATATTCTGACTAACCCCTCGCTTTCTCCTCCTCACCCCAAGAGGCTGGCAGACTTCCCTTCCCTTGACCGCCGCCGCCCTCGGGGTTCTCCTCCGGGAACTCTTTCCATGTAACATAACGCAGCTCACGGAAAGTGGCTATCACGAGCACTTCTGGCAAAAATATTTAAGCCGTTTGCAGTTCTCCCACTCCACACATTTTAACCACATGCACCTTTTCAAACACTGCTCAGAGACTGATGGGCACGCAAATCATTCTGGAAACTATGGAAAATGAGGGGAAAACGGCTGTACTGTTAGGACTGAGAACAAGAAAATAACTTTTTGCGTGAGTCATTCAACAGCTCCTTTTTATGTAAATATATCCACAACCCATCAGCATCTATGAGGAGTACAATTTACATTTTGAATGATCAAAATGTTTAGTATTGGCAGAGAAAATGTTTAAAAAGAGAGAAGGCGTCACTTTAAAATTTAGAAACTTAGTCAACCGTGCCAGATTATGATCTCAACTTCTCTCCCTCCAACAAATACTATGCTCCATAAAAACAAAATGAATTAGAACAAAATGCTTTTAAATTGAAATCTGGAAGTTCCCCTGATTTTCAAAAGAAAGAGGGGAAGACAACAAATACAATAAATTTCAACAAATTAGTAGAGAAATATAAAACTTGGCCTATTAAATGTGATACAGAGAAGGGAAGCACAGGAAAGACTAACACATGAAGTGTACGGAGCCATGACATTTGCAACAGCTGTGTTATGAAATGCACTCGGTATTCTGGGAAGCGAGAAACAAAATACTTTGTTAAAACACTTGTGGATGTACTGGTGGCTGGAAAGAAGAGAGAAAAAAAATCAAAATCACAGTTTAACCATTAATGCTATTGAGGATATAGCCTCTGGTGCCTTGTCTATGCCTATTATAATATTATAATTTGTCTATATATTTCTATATATGTCTATATATATTTTATATATATGTCTATACTATTATGTCTATTATGTCTATTATGTCTATTAACGAAACAACACAGTGGTGCATGCAACACATCCAGGACAGGCTGTGCTTGACACCCTTAAAGTTAGTGCAGTCCCACTAAATGACCTTTATCTACTTGGGCAAGAAGTCTGAGTTCAGTGCCACGTACTCCTAGAGATAAATCCATGCAGCTCAGTCCCAGACCTTGGTCCAATCTTTGCACAAGTTGAGAAGTCTCCAAGCCTGATAGCATCCTTTCAACTATTTCTAATGCTTCAAGGTCAGATTTTGACTGTGTTTTGTCTTGTTACTTCAAATCCCTTTCTCAGGTGTCAGTCTCGCTAGTAACTAGCTTGAGATATCCACACACCTGTATTCTGTCAACATGATGAAGGTTAAACCAAATAAATAAATCAAATTGAAAAGCAACATCCAGCTTGCTGCATAACTCTTATTGGAAAACAGTGAAACCCAACTTGAAATCTTTCACAATTCTATGCTGATAGGACAATTTTCAGGGAAATAAGTAAAATTCAGAGAAATGGCATTTGTGCTCTTGGAAATACTGTTTTCCAAAAACCTTGGCTACCATAGTAACATGATTTATTCCATATTTGCTGCAGTATAGTCAATTAGCTCCCTAACTGAAAGACAATTACAGTAACTAGAGATGTACCTGGCTGGAAGACTACTGAAATGCTGCTTATGAATGGCAAAGCAGAGTGCTTTAAACTCCAAATTAGTAATCATCATTGTTGATCATGGAGGACATTTCTGGCAGTGGTTTAACCTCAGTGATACAAAAGGGCACATTTGTCAAATGGGTGTTGGCAAACCCCAGCCACGGAGATTCCAAAACGCATCCTACCACAGCTGTGAATCTGTATGCAAAACAGCTAGTGGGAACAAGAGAGAAGACAGAAAAAACTGAGTTCCTATTGTATGCCTTTCCTGCATTCTGCAGCCATCACAGCTATAACTTTTGGCTGCAAAACTTTAACAGGGAAGGATTTTGTGAGCAAATGTATCAATATGCAAAATTCAGGCAGTATCTGATCCTTGCAAACACAAACATCGTTACGGTGTCTTTGTTATAAGACATCACGCAGAAAGTGTCTGAGCCACCCCTACCCAGCATAAAGGGCTTTATGCTGCCTTCGTTACCATCAGGGACGTTGGTCACCTCAGCATTCATTTGCTCCTCCTTACTCTGGCTCCATTCGATTTGCCTTGGCTTTTCTCCAGCATAAGTGTGACCAGATGTAGGATCTGAGATGATTTGTCTCCAGCTTTCGTTCAAGCCGATAAACTGCTAGCAGAACTTTTTCTAACACACATCCCAGAAATGTTCGTTGTGTCTTCTTTGGAAATGTCAGATATTGGCCACTGGAAAAGAGAAAACATCTGTTTTAATCCTCCCAAAGGAACATATCAAAGTTTTTGTGCTGTTTCTATGCAGCCTCAAGGCCTTTCATTCAAATAAAAGCCCCTTTGTAGAACCACTAGGTTTGTTGTTGTGCTTTTTTGTTTTTAAGCCAAGCTACTAGTTTTTGTTCTTTTTCTTGAAAAGTATCACAACGCCACTTCCCAGGTTGGCAGGGCCAAGAAACGGCCCTTCCCAGAAATTTGCTCCTGAAAAACAGCTGTTATCCAGAAAAACTAAGCTCATCCTCCATGGAAAATAGCTTCTGTGCTCACAGTTACTAGATTTTACTTGTGCTTCGTATAGTCCGGGGGCTTTAAACTAGCTACACTAATAGTCTGAATGCTTCACCCTCCTCCCCACGTTGCCAGTGAAATCCTAGAAAGGCCCTGACTCCATGGTAGAGGCTGGCACAGCAACAGCGCATGCATACAAATGCCATCTCAGCCGAGTGTGAAGAGCACAACAAAATCTCATTTTACCCACCAGAAACAATCACTATATTTATCTGTGTCCTCCTGAACAGATGAGAAACTTACCATGGTGTTCTGGAGCTCCAGATCCTGAGAGCAGCTATGAACAGCAGCTTTAAATTTAACCATAGTTGGAAAGCGTAAT